CGAGAGCCCTCCCGGCCCCGGGATCATTGGAGCCGAGAGGCCCCCGGCCCCGAAATCAGCGGAGCCCAGAGGCATCCCGGTGCCGGGAGGCCTCCCGGCCACCTGGATCAGCGGAGCCGAGAAGCCTCCCGGCCCTGGGATCAGTGGAGCCGAAAGGCCTCCGGGCCGTCTGGATCAGCGGAGCCGTGAGGCCTCAGTGCCCCGGGATCAGCGAAGCCGAGAGGCCTCAGGGCCCCGGGATCAGAGGAGCCAAGAGGGATCCCGGCCCCAGGATCAGCAGAGCCCAGAGAAATCCCGGCCCCGGGATCAGTGGAGCCGAGAGGCCTCCCGGCCCCTGGATCTGTGGAGCCCAGAGGCATCCCGGCCCCGGGATCAACGGAGCCGAGAGGTCTCCCAGCCCCGGGATCAGCGGAGCTGAGAGGCCTCCAGGGGATCAGCGGAGCGGAGAGGCCTCCCGGCCCCTGGATCAGTGGAGCCCAGAGGCATCCCGGCCCCGGGATCAACGGAGCCGAGAGGTCTCCTGGCCCAGGGATCAGCGAAGCCGAGAGGCATCCCGGCCCCGGGATCAACGGAGCCAAGAGGCCTCAGGGCCCCGGATCAGCGAAGCAGAGAGGCCTCAGGGCCCCGGGATCAGAAGAGCCAAGAGGGATCCCGGCCCCAGGATCAGCGGAGCCCAGAGAAATCCCGGCCCCGGGATCAGCGGAGCCGAGAGGCCTCCCGGCAGCGGGATCAGCGGAGCCCAGAGGCATCCCAGCCCCGGGATCAGCGGAGCTGAGAGGCTTCCAGGCCCTGGGAGCCGAGAGGCCTCAGGGCCCCGGGATCAGAGGACCCAAGAGGGATCTCGGCCCCAGGATCAGCGGAGCCCAGAGAAATCCCGGCCCCGGGATCAGTGGAGCCGAGAGGCCTCCCGGCCCCTGGATCTGTGGAGCCCAGAGGCATCCCGGCCCCGGGATCAACGGAGCCGAGAGGTCTCCCGGCCCAGGGATCAGCAGAGCCGATAGGCATCCCGGCCCCGGGATCAGCGGAGCCGAGAGGCCTCCCGGCCCCTGGATCAGCGGAGCCGAGAGGCCTTCCGGCCCCGAAATCAGCAGAGCCCAGAGGCATCCCGGTGCCGGGAGGCCTTCCGGCCACCTGGATCAGCGGAGCCGAAGGCCTCAGGGCCCGGGAATCAGCGGAGCCGAGAGGCCTCCCTGCACCGGGTTCAGCGGAGCCGAGAGACATCCCAGCCCTGGGATCAGCAGAGCCGAGAGGCATCCGGGACCCGGGATCAGCAGAGCTGAGAGGCCTCCCGGCCCCGGGATTAGCGGAGCCGAGAGGCATCCCGGCCACCTGGATCAGAGGAGCAGAGAGGCCTCCCGGCCACGAGATCAGCGGAGCCGAGAGGCAGCCCGGGATCAGGGAAGCTGAGAGGCCTCCCGGCCCTGGGATCAGCGGAGCCGAGAGGCTTCCCGGCATCACGATCAGTGGAGCAGAGAGGCATCCTGGCCACCTGGATCAGTGGAGCCGAGAGGCCTCAGGGCCCCGGGATCAGAGGAGCCCAGAGAAATCCCAGCCCCGGGATCAGCGGAGCCGAGAGGCCTCCGGGCCCTGGGATCAGTGGAGCCAAGAGGGATCCCGGCCCCAGGATCAGCGGAGCCGAGAGGCCTCCCAGCCATGAGATCAGCGGAGCCGAGAGGCCTCCCAGCCATGAGATCAGCGGAGCCGAGAGGCCTCAGGGCCCCGGGATCAGAGGAGCCAAGAGGGATCCCGGCCCCAGGATCAGCGGAGCCCAGAGAAATCCCAGCCCCGGGATCAGCGGAGCCGAGAGGCCTCCCGTCCCCGGAATCAGCCGAGCCCAGAGGCATCCCGGGGCCAGGAGGCCTCCCAGCTTCCTGGATTAGAGGAGCCGAGAGGCCTCCCAGCCATGAGATCAGCGGAGCCGAGAGGCAGCCCGGGATCAGGGAAGCTGAGAGGCCTCCCGGCCCTGGGATCAGCGGAGCCGAGAGGCCTCCCGGACTCATGGATCAGCGGAGCGGAGAGGCCTCCCGGACTCATGGGTTAGCGGTGCCGAGAGGCCTCCCGGCTTCCTGGATTAGAGGAGACGAGAGGCCTCCCAGACACGAGATCAGCGGAGCCCAGAGGCAGCCCGGGATCAGGGAAGCTGAGAGGCCTCCCGGCCCTGGGATCAGCGGAGCCGAGAGGCCTCCCGGACTCATGGATCAGCGGAGCGGAGAGGCCTCCCGGACTCATGGGTTAGCGGTGCCGAGAGGCCTCCCGGCTTCCTGGATTAGAGGAGACGAGAGGCCTCCCAGACACGAGATCAGCGGAGCCCAGAGGCAGCCCGGGATCAGGGAAGCTGAGAGGCCTCCCGGCCCTGGGATCAGCGGAGCCGAGAGGCCTCCCGGACTCATGGATCAGCGGAGCGGAGAGGCCTCCCGGACTCATGGGTTAGCGGTGCCGAGAGGCCTCCCGGCTTCCTGGATTAGAGGAGACGAGAGGCCTCCCAGACACGAGATCAGCGGAGCCCAGAGGCAGCCCGGGATCAGGGAAGCTGAGAGGCCTCCCGGCCCTGGGATCAGCGGAGCCGAGAGGCCTCCCGGACTCATGGATCAGCGGAGCGGAGAGGCCTCCCGGACTCATGGGTTAGCGGTGCCGAGAGGCCTCCCGGCTTCCTGGATTAGAGGAGACGAGAGGCCTCCCAGACACGAGATCAGCGGAGCCCAGAGGCAGCCCGGGATCAGGGAAGCTGAGAGGCCTCCCGGCCCTGGGATCAGCGGAGCCGAGAGGCATCCCGGCCACCTGGATCAGCGGAGCCGAGAGGCCTCAGGGCCCCGGGATCAGAGGAGCCAAGAGGGATCCCGGCCCCAGGATCAGCGGAGCCCAGAGAAATCCCGGCCCCGGGATCAGTGGAGCCGAGAGGCCTCCCGGCCCCTGGATCTGTGGAGCCCAGAGGCATCCCGGCCCCGGGATCAACGGAGCCGAGAGGTCTCCCGGCCCAGGGATCAGCAGAGCCGATAGGCATCCCAGCCCCGGGATCAGCGGAGCCGAGAGGCCTCCCGGCCCCGGGATCAGCGGAGCCGAGAGGCCTCCCGGCCCCGGGATCAGCGGAGCCGACAGGCCTCCCGTCCCCGGAATCAGCCGAGCCCAGAGGCATCCCGGCCCCGGGATCAACGGAGCCGAGAGGTCTCCCGGCCCAGGGATCAGCAGACCCGATAGGCCTCCCAGCCCCGGGATCAGCGGAGGGATCCCGGCCCCAGGATCAGCGGAGCCGAGAGGCCTCCCGGCCCCGGGATCAGCGGAGCCGACAGGCCTCCCGTCCCCGGAATCAGCCGAGCCCAGAGGCATCCCGGCCCCGGGATCAACGGAGCCGAGAGGTCTCCCGGCCCAGGGATCAGCAGACCCGATAGGCCTCCCAGCCCCGGGATCAGCGGAGGGATCCCGGCCCCAGGATCAGCGGAGCCGAGAGGCCTCCCGGCCCCGGGATCAGCGGAGCCGACAGGCCTCCCGTCCCCGGAATCAGCCGAGCCCAGAGGCATCCCGGCCCCGGGATCAACGGAGCCGAGAGGTCTCCCGGCCCAGGGATCAGCAGACCCGATAGGCCTCCCAGCCCCGGGATCAGCGGAGGGATCCCGGCCCCAGGATCAGCGGAGCCGAGAGGCCTCCCGGCCCCGGGATCAGCGGAGCCGACAGGCCTCCCGTCCCCGGAATCAGCCGAGCCCAGAGGCATCCCGGCCCCGGGATCAACGGAGCCGAGAGGTCTCCCGGCCCAGGGATCAGCAGACCCGATAGGCCTCCCAGCCCCGGGATCAGCGGAGGGATCCCGGCCCCAGGATCAGCGGAGCCGAGAGGCCTCCCGGCCCCGGGATCAGCGGAGCCGACAGGCCTCCCGTCCCCGGAATCAGCCGAGCCCAGAGGCATCCCGGCCCCGGGATCAACGGAGCCGAGAGGTCTCCCGGCCCAGGGATCAGCAGACCCGATAGGCCTCCCAGCCCCGGGATCAGCGGAGGGATCCCGGCCCCAGGATCAGCGGAGCCGAGAGGCCTCCCGGCCCCGGGATCAGCGGAGCCGACAGGCCTCCCGTCCCCGGAATCAGCCGAGCCCAGAGGCATCCCGGCCCCGGGATCAACGGAGCCGAGAGGTCTCCCGGCCCAGGGATCAGCAGACCCGATAGGCCTCCCAGCCCCGGGATCAGCGGAGGGATCCCGGCCCCAGGATCAGCGGAGCCGAGAGGCCTCCCGGCCCCGGGATCAGCGGAGCCGACAGGCCTCCCGTCCCCGGAATCAGCCGAGCCCAGAGGCATCCCGGCCCCGGGATCAACGGAGCCGAGAGGTCTCCCGGCCCAGGGATCAGCAGACCCGATAGGCCTCCCAGCCCCGGGATCAGCGGAGGGATCCCGGCCCCAGGATCAGCGGAGCCGAGAGGCCTCCCGGCCCCGGGATCAGCGGAGCCGACAGGCCTCCCGTCCCCGGAATCAGCCGAGCCCAGAGGCATCCCGGCCCCGGGATCAACGGAGCCGAGAGGTCTCCCGGCCCAGGGATCAGCAGACCCGATAGGCCTCCCAGCCCCGGGATCAGCGGAGGGATCCCGGCCCCAGGATCAGCGGAGCCGAGAGGCCTCCCGGCCCCGGGATCAGCGGAGCCGACAGGCCTCCCGTCCCCGGAATCAGCCGAGCCCAGAGGCATCCCGGCCCCGGGATCAACGGAGCCGAGAGGTCTCCCGGCCCAGGGATCAGCAGACCCGATAGGCCTCCCAGCCCCGGGATCAGCGGAGGGATCCCGGCCCCAGGATCAGCGGAGCCGAGAGGCCTCCCGGCCCCGGGATCAGCGGAGCCGACAGGCCTCCCGTCCCCGGAATCAGCCGAGCCCAGAGGCATCCCGGCCCCGGGATCAACGGAGCCGAGAGGTCTCCCGGCCCAGGGATCAGCAGACCCGATAGGCCTCCCAGCCCCGGGATCAGCGGAGGGATCCCGGCCCCAGGATCAGCGGAGCCGAGAGGCCTCCCGGCCCCGGGATCATTGGAGCCGAGAGGCCCCCGGCCCCGAAATCAGCGGAGCCCAGAGGCATCCCGGTGCCGGGAGGCCTCCCGGCCACCTGGATCAGCGGAGCCGAGAAGCCTCCCGGCCCTGGGATCAGTGGAGCCGAAAGGCCTCCGGGCCGTCTGGATCAGCGGAGCCGTGAGGCCTCAGTGCCCCGGGATCAGCGAAGCCGAGAGGCCTCCGGGCCCCGGGATCAGCGTAGCCGAGAGGCCTCCCAGCCCCGTGATCAGCGGAACCGAGAGGCCTCCAGGCCCTTGGATCAGCGGAGCCGAGGGGCCTCCGGGCCCTGGGATCAGCGGAGCCGAGAGGCCTCCCGGACTCATGGATCAGCGGAGCGGAGAGGCCTCCCGGACTCATGGGTTAGCGGTGCCGAGAGGCCTCTCGGCCCCGGGATCAGAGGAGTCGAGAGGCCTCCTGGCCCCGGGATCAACGGAGCCGAGAGGCCTCCCGGCCTGGGATCAGCGGAGCCTGATGGAAGCCCTGTGTGTTTATGCACCCTGGGTGTTCAGAGATCCTGTCCTAGGCAGAGGCCTATGGCGAAATTTTCGACTCTGAGAAGCAGCCTACGTGCTGGAAGGCGGCTCCTCTGACCTCAGTGCTGGAGAAGACCATTAATCAGAAAACTAAAGAGACCGATTTTACATCATTTCCCAGGTGGAGAACAGTTGGCATGTAAGCCCCTGACCAGTGCCCAGCCTCTCCTCTGTCAGTCTATCTCACTCTTAGATACCATGTTCTTTGTTCTGTCTTAACTGCAATTCATTTTTAAACTAGATTCCCTTTAAAAGAAGACTAAATAAAGTTTCCCTTAAGTTATTTAGGTGGTGCTGGGGCTGCTGGCACTGCTGGGGGCCTGATAGAAGACACAAACACGCAACGGGGGGCCTGTACCCAGCAGCCCCAAGGCCCGCCACCTTGGTGCTGGGGCTGCTGGGGCCCTGATCAAAGACCTGCAGCTCCAAGCCCCGCCATCAAGGTGCTGGGGCTGCTGGGGGTATCAGAGACACAAACCCGCAGGCCC